CTGCAGTGATGCTCTCCTCAGTCAGGATTCTCGGCTGCAGTGATGCTCTCCTCAGTCAGGATTCTCGGCTGCAGTGATGCTCTCCTCAGTCAGGATACTCGGCTGCAGTGATGCACTTCTCAGAGAGGCAGATTTAAAGCGCCTCTGCTGCCTTCACACCTGAATGAGTCAGTCACTCCCACCCGCTCTTCTGTTTCTTGGGGATTTTTCTCTTCACAAGAGTTGATAATTAAAAGAGGGGAAAATTTGGTCTCTTCCTGCATCCTCCGCCAGTTTGAGACGGCGACCGTGGCGTGGTTCAGGCTGGCTGGATTAAAAGTGCTTCCAGGCGCGTAAAATTAATTAACAGGTTAAGAGAGTGAAGGTCAACTCAGCAGGGATTATTCTGGGACTTGAGGGGGCGTGGCTTTGTGGAGAGTCTGCGGACCCGCACGGGTGCGAGGGAAACCAGAATGAAGGCAGCAGAGCTTATTGAGGTCTGCAGAATACTGATCAGATGTAGGCTGCCATTCATAGCCAGCATTGTGGTGCAGATCACAGAGCCCTGGAGATTTGGGTGGCCCCAGAGAACAAGGAATTTAGACAGCATTTGCAACGAGTCTGTATTTGACTATTTGCATCCTATATGATTTCAAGCAGTAATGTTCTGAGCCAATAAAGTTTGCAATCAGGACTGATCCAGGCATTTTTTTTTTTGATGGTATCTGCTACCAAACCCTGATCCATTTAATTTCTCTAGTCCACCTAATTTATGTCAGTTGCACAGATTGTAAGGTTCCGTCACATGGTGCAGTAAGCCTCAGGCACGTATCTTGAAACTACAAACTATCGGGATGTCAGTCATGTGGAAACTCTTTAAATTGGCAACTCAAAGTAGCCCGACAGCTACCTGAGATGTTTGCAATGCCATAATTCCGAGAGAAGGTTGTGACAGACCGTCATTTAATATAGCGAATCTAATCAGGCACTTACTGAAACATTGTAAGGGAAAATATTGCGAAATGGCCTGGCTTACTCAGACGAGGAATTCACGAACACCTACTGTATGTGTATGTACAGTATATTTGCATATTTATTAAAAGATCTGCTCGGGACTCTGAATCGGCAGATATGAATATGCAGTGGATCAGATCAGGGGCCCGAAGAAGGGGCCCTAGTTTCTAGCCTGTAGAGTAAATTGCAGTGCAGCCATGAGATCAGAGGTGTTTTCGCTTCTACTCCTACTGGTCTGGACTTTATGGAAAAGAAAATAAGAGCCACTTAACTGTTTATTTTAAGGCATATTGCTTTTTCAGAGCACTTTGCTAAGGAATAATTTGAGTCATTTTGTATTAGAGAGTGACCTTGGTCTGTGTGTGTGCGTGCGTGCGCGTGCGTGCGTGTGCGTGTGTGTGCTCACAGACAGACACCCCCAGCCAGCAACACGGGCAGATCCAGAAGGAGCTGTGGAGGATCCAGGATGTGATGGAGGCCTTGAGCAAGAGCAAACCTCAGAGGAGTGTGGACAGCACAGGTGTGTGTCGGCTGGAGCAGCAGCCTGTGTACATAAACACACACACACGCTCTGCCTGTGTACATAAACACACACACACG